GAGTTTTTATTTTAACGACTTAATATGAATAAGTAAAGATCTCTGGTGGGAAATGGGTGATTTTGGGAAGTGAGATGAAACAAACCCTGAAGCTGGGGTCTGTGGCTGGCTTCGCTACGTCTGAGAGGAGTAACCGGCAGGGCTGGGCGCACGGCAGCTCGCGGTCAGGTGTCGTCTCAACATCCTCGCCCGCTCTCGTCTGCCGCCCCGCCTATCAGGCCGCTCCACGTGACGAATCATGCCCCGCAGCTCCCAGAGAGGAGGTTACCATGGGGGCCAGATTGGGTGATGCCCCTTAAGGACACACCCCGGGCAGCAGTGTATATTTATTGGGTTAAATGGATCCACAGATAATGGGGACCTGCTGTTTGACCTTTGTAGGTGTATGGGGTCAATGAAAAGCAGCTAGAGCTGTATTTGAGCGAATATAGACGGGTCATGGCAATAACAGTGATTTCTCCCCCCCCCCCAGAACTGAGTCCAGAGGAGCGGGCCCAGCGTGTGGCCAAAGCCATCCGCAAGCAGACAGCCGAGGTGGCTGAGCGCTGGGAGCGGCTGTGTGGGCACGCCGGGGCCTGGCAGCAGCAGCTGGACCGGGCTTTAGGCCGCCTGCAGGACCTGCAGGGTGCCATGGACCAGCTGGAGCTGAGGCTGGTGCCGGCGGAGGACGAGCGCACCACCTGGCAACCCGTGGGCGACCTGCTCATCGACTCGCTGCAGGACCACATCGAAAAGACCATCGTGAGTCAGCAGGCCAACCTCCAAGCCCTCTGACTGGGTGAGCACTGTAGCCATGACTCTCGATTGACAGGTCGTGGGCCCTGCCCACCTCTTTGCCCAAACCAGGTCTTCAAGGAGGAGATGGCACCTCTGAAGAGGGACGTGCGGGCCGTGAATGAGCTCTCTGCCCAGCTGCAGCCCCTGGACGTCCAGCTGTCTTCCAGCACAACCCGGCAGCTGGACGACCTCAACATGCGTTGGAAGCTCCTGGAGGTAAAGTGCACCTTCTGCCCCCCCAGTCCTAACCCAAAGCACCAGTCGCTTCAATGCCAAAGAGGAAAAAGTTGCCTTTGATGCCGTCAGATTGTTAGAAGGGGCGGAGTCTAAGCTCCCCATGTCCCACTTGTTGCTGTGAATCAACAAATCAGCAGGCTAGCAATCCCCCACCACCTTGGCTCCCACCCCCTTGAATAATGTTGCTTGTGTTTCTGTCACTGTGGACCTGGGGGTTATTCCATAAAGCAGGATTTTTCCTTTAGCCAGATAACTTAAGCTAAATGTAACGATTGTCCAATAAGAATGTCACTTCCTTCTTCTCCCATTGGTCGGTTTTCACGTTTGGCTCAAGTTGTCTAGCTGACCAGGAAATGTTGCTTTGTGGAATAACCCCCTTGGAGGAATGCAGTTGGGGTGCCGTCTTCGGTGTTGTCATGGATGTGTGTTCCACCATGGGTGGGGAGCAGATCAGGGCGGCTTCCCGATGCCCCCGCTGTTGGAGGGCTTACCTCCCAGCATGCCGAGCGCTCATTACCGGCTCCCCTGGAGCTATCTGTCGTTGGAACCTGGTGCGGTCAGTTGGCTCCCCGGTGAATGTCACCACTGGGTTCCCACAATGAAATCCTCCCATGGCCCCGCTTGAGGGCAGAAGTCGACTGACCCTGACGAGCTGAGCAGGCCCGCGGACACACTGAATAATCGTTTCCGTAAACAGGCGGCTTCCATGTGAGCTGAGGCCGCCTGGATCTTGTGCTGCAGAGGCAGGTCTTCCGGTCACTAGAGGAACTTCCAGCCTGTCAGATACTGCAGTTGATGGTGATCGTTTGGGCTCTGAGCTTTATTACTGATGTAGTTTAGCTTTGCTCGGAGTGACCAGTCGTAATGACCCGTACTGAAGTGTCCTGGGTGGGACCACGCAGGTAAGGATTCTCTGACTCTCTCTTCTCTCCTTCTTCCTCGCAGGCGGCCGTGGAGGAGCGCCTGAAGCAGCTGCAGGAGGCGCACCGGGACTTTGGACCCGCCTCCCAGCACTTCCTGTCCAGTAAGTAGAACTTCAACCCCCTCCCCTCTGACTTCATTTCCTGTTTCTGCTTTTCCGATTTGTGTAAATTCTCCACCAAATAAATTGACCTGCATGAGTTGAGACTCTGGGGTTAATTTGTACCTCTTGTACTCACCCGCCTTCCGCCTCCAGAAGATGGAGCAGTGATTAAGGAGAAGCTACCCCCCCCCCCCCCCCCCCACACGAACCCCCCGTCCACCACCCACCACACGGCTGGCTGCCCCGGCGTGTTCCACACCCAGAGCTCAGCATCCTTCCCCCCCAATAAGAATTTGCTCAGATTAGTGTCTGGCTGTTCCTCTTCACATTGAGCAGCCCTCTGTCCCTTCCGGCCTGGCGTGGAATCGTGCGGAAAATGCTCCAAATGGGCCGTAACAGGAAGCCGAACCCTTATTCCATCCACCAGTTGTGTGTGTTTTGCCCCCCCCCCTCTGAGTGAATCGTAACCTGAGTGGGCGGGGCATTTGAATCTGTTGCCTCTGTGGCCGTGAGAACTCCAGAAATCACTTCTAACACGTTGTCAGCTCGTATTTATTTATTGATTTGTGTCCCTGAAGTGGCCCGTCACTCTCGTGACACATCCTCTCCTCCTGACCCCCCCCCCCCCCCCC